CTTGGTTGAGTATCTATCATATGTCATGATCACATATGACAACATAGCAATAGGTAAATGGTGTCTCCTGGAGTATTTAAAATATGTATTAGCTGATTTACATAACTTTGCACGTCAGTTGATGGGTAAAGGGCTATACATGGAAAGAGTTGTTATGACAAATAGTGAAAAAAACGTGTTTTCAAGACTGCAGACTGGGTTTGACATTATCACATGCCAACAGCCCAAAACCAACTTGGCTTTGACTGTGCTATTCCTTATTTCACTTTTGCCAACTCAGTTCTTAGAACTATGAGCTGTATCAGTCAAATAGCGTGAAAGAACTAGTTATATGTCACTGATAAGCCTTTCCTACACTGACTGGGCCAGGAGTCCGAGATAAAAGAAGCTGGAAGACCAGAGGGTAGTGAGAGCACTGTTTCATATTATTTTGACCCAACTAAAGATGAAACAGATAACTCAAATGCCTCTTTATATGCTGGCAACGAGGCAATAATCGAATAGTTCAACTGGAAGGTCAGCTGTGGTAATGACAATAACTTCCAAATGGGGCTAAAACCATTTAGAATGACGTTACAACGACAGGTTAGATATTTGCAAAGCTGAAAAATCTCAAAGCTAAAGGGACATATTATCTCTATATTTTGAACTATAGAATGGACATGTGCAGTGGTTTTGAATAGAAGTTCGAGCAAGGTCACAGCAATTAGGATAGTGGTGGAAGTTTAGCAGTTAACTCGGCTGCAAGACCCAAACACAAAACATTACAATTCGTATCTTCCGACCTAACGAATGAAATAAAATTTCTATACGATGCTTTGTTTTAGTCAATTTATTATGATGGCTAGGGTAATTGAAGACATTTGATACAATGTCTAGAACGTTAATAAAAGCTGGAATTACTGATGATGATTACTAGGATACCTAATACATGTGAAAATTGAGATAATTTGCAATCCTTTCATTATAAGCACTCAAGTTGAATTTTAAGTTAGAGATTAGCAGGAGTTTACGTGAAAGTCCACCCAAGAACACTTGTTTGTATATGTGTTTAATATCTCTCATATCTACGTTTGGATATAAAAGTTCAGCATATATTTTCCATATGTACAGTAAGGAGATTGTGGACTTAAACTGCATAAGAAACAACTCCAGCTATAATAAATTATGGTGAAAAAGTCCTGTATTTCCTTAGGTTATCTCGCAAAGCCAACAACAGTATTGGATTTTTCAGCTCATAGGTTGCAATATAGTAATATAATATGATTGCTTGAATTGGCAGTCGGACGTGACAGTAAATGTATTTTAATGCTTCCTCCTATGCTTGCTTTGAGTCAGTGTGACGGTATGTTATTATATAATGTAGCTGACAGCATGATTTTAAATCAAGATTGTGTGAATTACAATGGAAACCCCCATTTCTGCTGAATTTTACAAGTGTTGTTTTAATCTAACAGTGCTCAGTCGAGTCTTGTGATTCACAGGTGGCAGTATAGCAGTGAGGTTACAGGTAGGTACACATTTAAATGATAATCTATGCAGTAAAATGTCAGCAGACAGCTAACAGACAGTGAAGTTGTTGTTGTACATTAGTTCTGGCAGTGTTAACCAAATACCATTTTGAACTATAATCTATTATCAGAGATATAAACTACAATAAACTCAACTAAAAAGAAATAAATCACAATAAGAAACCTGATCATTTGTTGTCGAGGCTATACGCTATGTCACTCTAATGCAGTGGTTACTATTTAGAGCTATTAATTGGCAGCTGTAATAGTAAACATTGTTTACCATTGATTACCTTAAGTATGTCATAGTTGATCTGTCATGTACTATAAGTTTTTACGTTTATTTAATATGTGGTGGTGTTGATATACACATGTGTGCATGGCAATATAAAAATGTTTTACATTACTTGTGTATTTCGAACTATGTACATGAATGTACACACAAAGAAAGTATAATTATTGAACAATAAAGATGTCTGATCAGAATAAAGTATGTCAGGTGAAACTGTTGTTTTAGTTTACACCTAATCAAATGAAACCAATGTTTTCATCAATGTTTGTTTGTTTGTTTTTGAATTTCGCGCAAAGCTACACGAGAGCTATCTGCGCTAGCCGTCCCTAATTTAGCAGTCTAAGACTAGAGGGAAGGCAGCTAGTCATCACCACCCACCGCCAACTCTTGGGCTACTCTTTTACCAACGAATAGTGGGATTGACCGTCACATTATAACGCCCCCATGGCTGAAAGGGCGAGCATTTTGGTGCGACAGGGATTCGATCCCGCGACCCTCAGATTGCGAGTCGAGTGCCTTAACCAACTGGCCATGCCGGGCCATCAATGTTCGTAAAGAGTATGTTCACTTTTGAATTGAAACATTGTGATATTCCCAAGGA